TAGTTATACCAAACATATTGATATAGGTAATAGTTATACCAAACATATTGATATAGGTAATAGTTATACCAAACATATTGATATAGGTAATAGTTATACCAAACATATTGATATAGGTAATAGTTATACCAAACATATTGATATAGGTAATAGTTATACCAAACATATTGATATAGGTAATAGTTATACCAAACATATTGATATAGGTAATAGTTATACCAAACATATTGATATAGGTAATAGTTTTACCAAACATATTGATATAGGTAATAGTTTTGGTATTTGAGATAAATACCATGCGTGATATTTCAAAATTGTCAAACAAACTGATTTCACAAGCGACACGAGGCGAGTAAAATTTGTGACAAGTTTTGAAATATCACAAGTTGTATTTATCCCAAATTCCACGTACTAAACATGCTATTTTTTGTTTATAAAATGCTTGAATAAATTGCGCAATTTGAAATACCACTATTAAGGATAAATACCACTCCGCTAAGCCAATCAAATTGCACAATTCTGCGCCGTAACCAGAGGAAAATGTTAACCGAGGCACTTTACACGACCGGCGGAAGCGGTCGTATCTAGGGGGTTCGTAGGCATGCTTCCCCGAAACATTTTGAAATTCAGACACTCGGGAACGTCATTTACAGCGTTTTGCCAAGCATATTGTGACTTTTTTATCTTACAACATTGATCGATCTTTTTTATTTTGAATACGAATTAAAGAAAACTCGATAAAATTTTACCGGGGGAAGTGCCTCGCTTGCCTGATCGTAGCTACGGCGCTGCAATTTTATTCAACCATATTATATTCACAGGAACAGATGAATACTTTCATGGAAAGAAACACCGACGCAGCTTACAGTAATTTACTGCTAGTTTCAATCGGTGTATAGAATTATCGTTTTAATTGAATTTTTTATTATTATGAAATCAAGAATGAACTCTAAAATGACATAGTATAACTTTCAACATTTTTTTTTCACAAGATTAGAAGTTGTACGAAAAACAAATAAACAAACAAGACACCTGTCAGCGTGCACTCGGGCTTTTCTTCAATGTGGAAAATAAGTTAATGGTCTCTTGTTTTAATGATACATATAGAATATCTGCGACGTCTTTCTTGTTATTATAACTACAGTTTTATTTTCGGTCACCTCAAGAATAAATGTGATTGGAACGCCGTTCGTGATGAAGTTATATTTTCATACCCTTCTATCATAATTTCTTGGTGCATAATACCTATAAAACTATCATGAAATAAATTGAAGTTCATAATCAGTGCTAGGTAGTTCTGATTGTAWTCAGATAGATTGCTTGTAGTTCATTATTGGCTTTGGATAGATAAATGGCTTGTGTATCATAGCGTATTATTGCTGCGAACGAAGTGAGCAGCGACACTACTGACATACTGAAGGCGAAAGTCGATTTCGTGGGCTAGCGATAGACACTTTGAGCGCCTACAGTAAACATTATACCGCCGACCGGTTAGCTCAGTAGGTAGAGCATCGGACTTTAGTGCGGGAGGTCGCAGGTTCAAACCCCGGCTGGACCAACACTCAGGGTCTTAAAATAATTGAGGAGAAGTTGCTGCCTTTGTCTTTCTCCATCTGCAAATGGTAAGATCTTCTCNNNNTTTTTTGCATTCATCGCCAAATCGCGGCCAGACTAGCCAGGCGTTCCTAGCCTGTCTTGTCTCGTCCCATGCTTCAAGTGCTAATTGCATCAGCTTCTTCGTCGATATGGACTTATGGTATTTCTTCTTCTTCAAAAAAAATACGCTCAAATCACTCACAAGTACACACGCGGTATAGCCACATTAAAAGATGTCGACCGTTTTCGGAATGGGCTTTTTGAAAAATACCGCGAATTTATCAAGCTTATTGTGACTTAAGTTATGATACACAAGCCATTTAGGCTATATCCAAAGCCGACCAAAGCCAATCATAAACTACAGGCCTTCTATCTTAAAAGCTACTGATATTCAAAGCTCTAACTACTATAAAAGAACAATAGACTCAAGTGCCGATTGTCAACAAAACTGCACAGGTAAAATAACGAAGGATTGCAAACAAAGGATCAGCGAATGGTATTTGCGTTAGACCAAATCCGGGACCAAATGTCTGTCAAAGTAAGGACAATTCTTGGTCAACAATAATGATATTAATACATTTTCTTTTTTTACTATTTTCAATCCAAGGAAGGATTTTTAGTTTTACTTTATATTTGATAATTAAAGTTTTTATTATTCTTTGCAATAATTGCGGTAAATTTATCAAGTCAAAATTATATAAGTCTTAATTATTATGCTATCAACTGGACTGAGAATTTATTATATTTTTTGGTCACGGCAAGAATAAATGAAACTACATATTCTATATTGTATCATTAAACCAAGAGACTACACTAAAAAGAACCCCGAGTACACGCTGACAAGCGTCTTGTTTAACAAAGCGAACATATGCTGATAAACTCTTCACTATAAGAATGGCAAAAGTTATTTGAATTTACAAATTTCATGAAGACATTTGAAAAAGACTAATGATGCAAATGAAGCGGTAAACCTAAATCATCTGAATGTATCTACTCATTTATGGAGCTGAAGAACATTTCAGGAACTGATACGAATTCTGTATGGATTCTGTATCCTTATGGTTTTTCTTGTGCTTGGTACTTCTTGCTAACTAACATTACTTTGCGCATTGCTGTGCTTTCTTTGACGTCTTTAGCTTGTTTGATGGAGTCTCGTCTGCTTTAAGAAATCACACGGCAACAGGAAGTTTCTTTGGAGGGTTCTGTTGTCTTACCTATTAATTCCTCTTGTTTAAGCTTTTAATTACTGGGTTGTCTTTCGTTTAACCACCGCATGAGCCTTGTCTTTCCACTAGCTTCGAGGCTTACCTGGACCTCCTCACGCGGGGTAAGTTTCAACTAAGTCCTAATCTCCAGGTTATACAATTGACAAACGAACTCTAATGTTGTGCTGAGTTGTGCTGTCTGCTGACGCTTTGCTTTTATCCAAATTGAGTCCAAAAGAATAAGTTCAACTGGAAGTCTTCATGAACGGCCAAATAGGAGCATATAAACGTTTTTGTACATTGTATTTCCAACATTTAGGTTTATACAATTCAGTTAATGTTGACGTCATTTCTAGGAGATTACGATTAATCCTATCAACCAATCCATTACTCTCAAAATGGTAGAGAGTTGTCCTCAAATACATTACAACTGTCAAATTCTCTAGTTGTCCGGAAAAACGTTTTCAAACTCCGCTCCCGTTTTGTGATGTCTTTTGCCTGGGCACCCAAACCGTGGTATAAAATCATTGTCGATCTATGATGCTGCTGTCTCGGAACTCTTGCTTTAGTRGGAGATGCCTGTATATATATCATGAAATGGTCTACAATTACCAGAATATACTAGTTCCTCCAGAACTGATTTCCAAATTTACATAATGATAACTAGCTCAAATGGAGAAAAGGAAGTAATCGCCTGGAAAGGTTCTCTTGTGTGTCTTCTTCAAATTTACTCCGTGTTCTCTTCGATGTTGAATATGAGAACACTAAGCCACGAATTCCCTCCCGGATTGTCAAGAATTTCTTGTGRTCCTAGTAAGAGGGAGACGATCCGACACGGTGCTGTTATTCAGTTCACGGTAGTCGACTCATAATCTCAGTCCTACATCGCACTTACCGACACAAACAACACTTCTCGAGAATGGCGGCTTAGAGGACTTAATAATCCTTTGTTCAATAAAGATAGTCTATGTAASACTTAACTTCGAGGTATAGTGGACGTGGGACACGAGATGTAGTTTTTATGAATTGTCCATCTGTAGTTACGGTATGCAGGCTAAGTCATCACCATTTTTGCGCTCACTTAGCAACAACACTGCCTAGCCTGTTGCCGCCGATCCCCTGTCAGATAAGACCAAATCTACATGTGAATCAAGACAGTTCTCATCGATTTCTTGCACCGAACATGAGCTCTGATGTTGTTTTTTCACAGTTACCTAGCGCTGGGGCGTATCGGCGYTATTGTACGCAACYGGCTCACATATCACTTCAACTGGTGCTGCCGATCATAGCRACTGAAATGTCCTACCACGGTTTTACCTGGAATGCGAATATGTCCCTGGTGCTAGGATAAGTGACTGGTGTCCGTAGTATCTCACAATCTCCTACTTTCARAGTTTTAAGCTCATCTTGTATTAAGGGACCTTGTAGGTTAACAGCCGAAGAAAACAGGATAGAAAAGTTAGCAAATCTGCCTTAAGGAACTTTTTCGTCGAAAACTTCATGAAGTCTTTGAAGAGAGAAAAAGAAGACAATCATATGTTAGAGAGTAGTTTCAGAGTATAGTGGAAACGTCGATCAGATAGAACTCAGAAAAATGACAGTTAAATAGAGTGATCTAAATCTCTGGACGAGCTAGTTTTAGATATAGCAGACCTTTCCACTAAAAGAGYCCTTATATTGCTATGTGACGCAAACAATGGCAAGTTTGCTTTCAAACGCACTAAACAAAACCTAAAGGCAAGAAGAGGTATTCTTTCAGAGTCAAGTTTTATTGCTGTCCATTAGWACTACAAGACAAGAAGCTACTGCAAGATGTAACAAGACGAAAAGTATGTTAGGATGAAAAAATTGAAGACAGCTGTTATCTGAAAATTGTTTAGACCAAAACCGAACCAAGTACGAAAGTCCACCATCTCGAACATTTCCAGTTTCCTGTGCATCTTAAAKATTTTGTGCATAAATGTCTCTCCAGTACTTGGCAGAAAGTTTTTTCGGGGAATGTGGTCGACATGCATGAAAACAATTCTCCATCGAAGATCAGAGCTAAACTCTCGAGGCATCTTTTTCTATTTCACCCGCAAGAAACAAGCAAAATGGCGGCTGTCGGACTTGGTTCGGTTTTGTGGGAGGAGTCACGAGAGCAGCTCGTTTACTTCGGAATTTTGATTGACGGGAGCAAAAACAGCAAATGACCGTTAACGTTCGCAGTGCTAGAGTTCGCAGAAATCGGAAAACAGTAGTAAACCTGCATGACGTGTAAGACAGCAATCAACAAACCTGCTTCATTCACTTACGCGGAACTAGACTGTTTAGGTCTATTATCGTTAAAATAATGTATGCGATTTCACCTGTCTTTACATCACTTATCCATATSGAGATTGCTTGCAACTAAAAGAATCCTTAAATTACTTCTGAACAAGCAGCTGGTAAAAGACAAAGCATTAGCAACCTTCATGGCTGAAGTTGAATCAATTGTAAATTCTCGACCCACTACCCGTTTTTGGCAACTTGGTGCYTTTTGAATCCAATTTACTTTGTAAACAATGAAAATTCASTACCTGTAGATGTATTTTGGAGACGTTTTGGTCAAAAGAAATTCCACTACACTTCAAGAGCGCCACAACCGCCAGAAATTTCACACTCGTTACCAAGGACTTCTGGTGGACCCTTATCTTCCATGTTGCAGCCAGTGTCCAATATATATCAGCGTACCCAGACACAAAGGGATTCGTAAAGTCCTTTTAAGTAAATGTCTAAATAAAGTCTCTGATGCCGCTAAATGAAGGTAGTAAAAGTTYATTAGCACAATATTAAATCCGGTGTTCCTGGAACTTCTTAAAAATGACTACTCAAAAAATCATAAAATATCCAATCAAAATAAATATAWAAAAAAAACATAGTTACAATTTCTATTCATTCAGCTTTTAGAAAATGTATACTTTTACTGGTGCACATTTAACAGTTATCGTCATATGAGAAGTTAATTGACCTTGACCTTGACCATTGGTCGAGAAGGTCTCCCGGCTGATACCTTAAACAGGCATTTTTCTGCAGACGTAGACTAGCAGATATTTTCAGTATGACCTCGAAAACGTTTGATTTAAACGCCTTTTAAAATCTAATTAATAATGTAAACCTGCTATAAAAGCTAAAAGAAAATACAATATGCCATCAAAAAGTATGTGTAAGGGGTGTTTGTCTTGTTGTCAAAAGCTGACAGCTTAAAACCAAAGCCCGTTGAACACACAGTATAAACATTTATTAACCCACTATTTTTTCTTTCAATTACAAGAAGCCATTGTTAATGGATCTACTATACCAGGACAAGGCTATGTTTATGTCAACGACGCAATAGGAAATCTCACCAWTCTAAAAGAAGTGTGGATTGAATACCCATACATCGCATATGGGCTTCAGGAAATTGTTAATGTTGCTTGCAAAATGGCTGGCTATAACGGAACTTCCTCCCCCTGCATGCATGGTTACTACTCGCTTGACGGTTGGAAATTGAAACAASGTCCATCTCATTTAAAAATTAGAGCTTGTAAAGGAACCGAGGCTACACTGCTCCAATGTGAACAAACTTCTTATACACCTCAACCATTGATGGTGAATTGTTTGCCACCTGGTAAGTACCGTGAAATTATGTGGTCAGAAGCAACAGCTCCGCGCCCCCTCCTCATTATGCGCGGAAATTACTTCCAGTAGAGGAGGGGGTGGGAGAATTAATTTAATTATGCATTTTGGTCTTATAAAATTTTGTAGGTTTGTTTTGATGGTTTTACATCGCATAGGCAGATTTAAAACTCACATGATTTGATCACCAAACATATAGAGCGGATTTCGCATGAGTGGGAAACGGACGGTACTGTACTGTGACCGTAATCGTACTGTAACCAAATTCTAGTGCCCCATTGGTTCACCAAAATTGTGCAGGCCAGGTCCGGTAACTGTGCAGTAACCGTGCGGTAACGGTGTCCCACTCATACGAAATCCGCTCTAAAGGCCTTGTATTTCGAAACACGTTTGTCATCCATCATACCGATAACAGTTATAACTAGTCTACCAAATATGTGAAATGTAGATCTAACAGGTTTGAATGGGATTCATTGATTTATAGTGTAGTCAAAAAAAACCCGTGAAATTGATTATACTAATATTATACTAATACAACTTAGTACACTCTAATTGCATTGTCTTATGTTGTGTCTATTGACTATCACGTTTCATTAGTCAAGTTTTATTTCACGGGTTAAATGACTGCATTTGTTGCTACAGACCTGTTTCGTTAGATATCTTATTACAGTAAGTAATATCGTTTTTACTGTAGTTACATGAATCAAACTAAATTCTTAGTTTAATTTTTATTGAGTTTYATGCTTTGTGAAAGATTTCGATCATTAGAGATATTTTAATTCAGAACTTTCTTTATTGTACAGTAGCAGTTTCAAAAAGTAGTTATCATGAAATTGTCTGACCAGCGGCGCAGAAAATATACCAAAACATGTGCAAAGAGGATCTTTAAAAGACATCAGWACGCCATCTACGTAGTGTTGGGAGCTGGTAAGTTGTCTCGAAGTACTCTGTCCTTGGTTGGGACAACCGCCCACGCTTTTCGCACGTTATCTGTTCTTTTACATGTTTTTCGGCGCCAAATTCTTTTAACGTCAAACTTGAAATTTTTTTCTATGCATTAAGCTTACAATTTGGTTGGCAAACGGACTGCTGGATAATAGCTGTAGGACTCGTTACCTTGTTTTTSTTCCACTTTTGCGTTACGTGATTTCGTCATGTGAGCCGGAAGTTGGGTCAAAGAGGGTTGCAGGTTTGTCAGTTTATACTGTTATTTGGTTACCCTCTTTAAATAAAGTTGATCTTATCTTGTCTTATCTTGGATACAAAATCAAAATGTCTAAATAATGGTTTCAAATGCTTTCTTTTTGAAAAAGTCTATAAAAACTCGAACGATCCCTTTGATGAGGGTTTAAGCAATGTTCTCTGAAAGATATGTCCATTTCTTAACATGTCACATAGTCTTTTAGCCAACTGGTTGACTTTCTGTTTCTCGTGGGCCTCGTGGCTACAGTTGGTTGAGCCAACGTCTTCCGTTTTGTCCTCAACGGTCGGTACGATTTCATCGTTGACCATCTTGAAATGTCACGGATGAGTTCCGGGTTATCGTCTTTTCATCATTAAGGGCTGTCACCATGCTGCCTTTGACTTCTTCGACGACCATAGGMTTGGGACTGTAAGGTGTCGATAGCTTTAACGATCATGGGCTGTCTGACGATAACTGTCTGACCTGGTTGCACTCTAGCTCTGCGTCTCAGGTCTGCATACACTTTCATCTTTTCCTTCTGCTCGTCATCTTGTTCACTCATGTCGTCAGATTTCTGGGCGGCTTTGTAGGTAGGAGCCGGTATCTCTGGCAACTTTATCATCTTCTTTCTGTTTTTCAGTGCTTCACACGGGGATACTTTTGTTGTTGAGTGGGGGTGTGGCTCTGTATTGCCTCAAGAATTTGAATACTTCCTGCTTCCAGTTTTTGCCTTCCATGTATACTATCGATATGCACTTGTTGAGGTTCCTCATGAAGCTGAACCATTAGCTTGTTGCCAGATTGGGGTGATCTTTCGGTGGTGGAATCCTGCGTATTCTGCGTAGTTTGTAAAATCTTTCCCAGTGAAGGACGGGCCGTTGTCTGTTATAACGATGTCTGATTGGCCTTCTCGAGAAGATGGCATCGAGTTTTGGTATCGTCGCTCTTGCTSTCGACTTTCGGGAAGCGGCTGTACCCGTCTATCACCACAATAAGATATTCACCAGAAGAAAAAGGTCCTGTGAAGTCAAGTGCTACCGTTGCTTGGTCGCAGMTTGACATTTCTCGACTTTATCTTTTACCAACTTGTCGATGTGTGGGAACCACACCTTCTCACGTATGAGCTGTTTAGTTTTCACAATTCCTTGGTGACCAACGTGTGCGAGATGGACTGCTTTATCTCAACAACAACAACAACAACAACAACAACAACAATCTTTATTTTCATTTCCATATATTACATATATTTACATTTTTATCGCATATTTTCTTAGAAAACAAGAGTATAGATTTGAATTAATTGTTATASAAAAATATGCTTTGCATTCAAGGAAATGACTAGAGACTAAGGGAACCGTAAGGTTTTCAAAGTTAGACTCTAGGAGCTGGTGAGGGATGATGATTCTGTTTCCTCTAGTACCATTCCGTTGTATRCTGCGAGTTCGTTCTTGACGTTTGCGTACTTCTTTAAGATTGGATCAGTCCAATTGTCGGTTTCGATCGCTTTCAGCAATGACTGGAGTTCCTGGTCTGTCTTAATGGCGGTCTTGATCTCTTGGAGTTTTATTGCTTTAGCTACAGCTTGGGTTGCGATGTAGGTGATATAACTCTCAGCGATGCTAGAGTTGCTTTTTCCGCCAATGGATGTCCACTCATGAAGTCGGCAGGGTTGTCTTTGCCTGGTTTTTAGAAGCTCGTAGTCATAAGGCATCAGTCTCAGCCTCCATCTCTCAATTCGAGCTGACATTGGTTCGTGACTCTTGAAGATTTCAAGGAGTGGTTTGTGGTCTGTGACGATTCTGAACGATGATCTGTATAGATAAAGATGAAAGTGTTCCATTGATCACATGCACAACGGCTAGCATCTCTCTCTTTCTGTATGAGAGTATCTTTGTTCTACATCAGTGAGCGCACGGCTGGCATAGCTGACGACTTTTCCGTTCTGTACTAGAAGGGCGCCGAGGCCAACGAGGCTCGCGTCCGCGATGACCTCGCTGTTACATGTAGGGTCGAAGTATRAAATATCATTTGTAAGAGAAAATCGTATGCAAATCAGGACAAATCTCTTGCTCATATAAAGATGCGGTCACGGCAATGATTTTCCATTGTGTTTACCTTATCAATTATTAATGAATTTGATAAAGATTTTTAATAGTCAATCTTAMACTACATAAACTACATCATTACATCATACTGACATGTGATTGTACACGTGAACACTACAATTACTTCCTCAGTTTCTAAAACAARATAAAAACATAACCAACCAGTAGTGTAATATCAACTTGCTGTAATTTTGTRTGATTTTCTACGTTACTTTACACGGTTTAATAGATGTGCAGTTGTTGTATAAATAAWATCTTGATGAATATAAGTGAATTTAGACCAAATTTCCGAAGCTATAGATAGAACTAGATACTAAGAATATGTTTTGGCACAATCTCTCAACATGTTATACACGAATTTTCAGGTACTATAAATCCCAGTACTGGCACATGCCTAATTCGAGGAATTTGTAAATAAATAGCGTTAGTTTCGTATTCATAGCGCATTTTTAGAATTTTYTAGCTCATCTACTTAGTTAGGCCAATTTGGATCATCTAAATAATAAATATAATATGAAATTAATCATAAATTATTGTTACTACTTAATAATATTGATTAGAAAATAAYAAACAAAAGAATAGTTATAATTTAGTACTAATTTTAAACTATTTTAGCCTCAAGGCTTTTAAAAGTGCGCTCACTTCATGGAGCGAAATGGATATTTATGATGTGTTTGTGATATTTCGTTTATTATTTAGAACCCACTCATTTTCATGGAGTTTTCTTCAAGCAATGGATAGGTAAAGGCTTACTTCCTGATAAATCTCGCTGGAAATATGCTCCAGTATTTCAAAAACAGCCGTTATTAAGTTACATCCTGGCAACATTTGATGTTTTCAAAACTTTGTGGGATTCTTCAGTTATAAAAGTAACTGCATATCTAATGGTAAGTTGCTAGCTTATTATCCTCCATTTGGTGCCTAGTTGGGGGGATCAGAGAGCATAGATTATTGATAAACAATTGTAATATACCTTTACACAGTAATGACTTTATTTGTTAAATACAGATTCTTAACATAGAMACGCCCATATTACTCTAAATAAATCTCAATGATTTAACAGGTTAAACGTCCAGGGGAATATTCTATTGGCGCTGCTTGCAAGTATGGATGTGAAGTATGGTGGACGAGAGTCCAAGAACCAGGGCTAAGTGATTTTGGGAAATCTGCAAATATGATTATCAAATTAGCTGCAACTGCAAAACCAAACGAGTACGAAAGGTAAAGTTAAATGCATTTTAATTTTAATTAATTACAATCGTCTTTACTATCACACACCTGCGGAAAATGAGGACACTTGTTTTTTTTCGGCATCCGTATTTCTGAATGCATTTATCATTACTTATAAACACATTACTATGCCTTCCTGTGCTTTCTTCCGGTTCAATCTGTCTCCTAGTGATGTACTGACCTCTGTGAACTCAGCAGTTTAGATATCCTTTCGTTTCTTGGCAGGAATCCAAAGAAAAACATTAAAATGCTTATTACCTGCCACGTATACCAAATGGAGTTCTACGCTAGGCTAGAACGACATGGAGATTTTGCAAACATTGCGCTAAAGTCCGAAAGTTATCAAAGTTGGTCACCTATACCAACAGAATTATTGTACTGGGACAAGCCAGGTAAGGGAGAATGCACTTAAAAAGGGTCTTCTTTATGTACCATTCATTTAGTGAGAAATATTTGTAATGCATGGCATGAAGAAGTCTGCAGCTGACATATCATGACTGTTTTCGCTGTCTGTTTTGAAACCACATGCCAGACATTTAGACATAAATGTACGAATATTTAAGCCAAAAAAANTTAACATAGACACGCCCATATTACTCTAAATAAATCTCAATGATTTAACAGGTTAAACGTCCAGGGGAATATTCTATTGGCGCTGCTTGCAAGTATGGATGTGAAGTATGGTGGACGAGAGTCCAAGAACCAGGGCTAAGTGATTTTGGGAAATCTGCAAATATGATTATCAAATTAGCTGCAACTGCAAAACCAAACGAGTACGAAAGGTAAAGTTAAATGCATTTTAATTTTAATTAATTACAATCGTCTTTACTATCACACACCTGCGGAAAATGAGGACACTTGTTTTTTTTCGGCATCCGTATTTCTGAATGCATTTATCATTACTTATAAACACATTACTATGCCTTCCTGTGCTTTCTTCCGGTTCAATCTGTCTCCTAGTGATGTACTGACCTCTGTGAACTCAGCAGTTTAGATATCCTTTCGTTTCTTGGCAGGAATCCAAAGAAAAACATTAAAATGCTTATTACCTGCCACGTATACCAAATGGAGTTCTACGCTAGGCTAGAACGACATGGAGATTTTGCAAACATTGCGCTAAAGTCCGAAAGTTATCAAAGTTGGTCACCTATACCAACARAATTATTGTACTGGGACAAGCCAGGTAAGGGAGAATGCACTTAAAAAGGGTCTTCTTTATGTACCATTCATTTAGTGAGAAATATTTGTAATGCATGGCATGAAGAAGTCTGCAGCTGACATATCATGACTGTTTTCGCTGTCTGTTTTGAAACCACATGCCAGACATTTAGACATAAATGTACGAATATTTAAGCCAAAAAAAATTGATCAAATAACGGCCCTCACTAATTCATCAAATTAAATCCTAAATGCACAGAAGATTTTACCAAATACCATGAATCAATTTCTTATGTTTTACGGAAGTATTTCTGTGTTTCTTGTAATTATTTATTTCCTATGTTGTACGATAATAACCAATGTGCATGGACGTTATTTTGTTATTTTGTACAGCAAAGAAGAAATGTAGTTGTAGTGCTGGTACTTTTTCACTTTTTACATTTTCTTGTATAGTGGTAGACTATAAGTTGCCATCGACATTGCTTTTAATTGAACATCACAGAGATGGAAATCGTTAGTTCAATTGTCCCACCATAAATAAAAAAGTTTATAAACATTACTTGTAGCGAGCTTTCAATTTACCYTAAGATATTTTCTTAGTTACCTTTAGAATTTGAGAAACAGACATATTCTATTATCGTTTTTGGTKTTCATTTTCGAGTGGCTTGAAATCAATAATTTACTTTTGTGCAAATCAGCAAAATCAGCAAGACTGTGGTGCTCACATTTTTCTCAATACGTTATATTCTGAATCAAACTTACTTTGTAGGGTCAAGGGAACTTCATTTTAGTTTGACAAACAACATCAGCTCTCACATAAATCTTGGCTCAAAGTTATTAATAAAAGGTAACTAACAGCATATTATCACTGACAAGTTACTCATGTTAAGTATGTAAGTATAGTAGTAATGACCTAATAATCATTACCTAAAGATCAGAAAGCACATCCCAACAGCGCATCCCAACAACAGATAGCCTTTTCTGAAAACCTCATAAATAACACGCATCGCAGAAGTGTAGCGGTCAAATGGCTYATTAATTCACCTTTTCGGCTCTATGTTTCACATGTCATGTCACGTGACCTGGAATGTAAACACAACGCCAAAGCTCGGACATTCTTGTAACGTCACGATATAGTCATTTGTAATAACTCGCAATGGTGACTACTAAAAGATGTGCTTACGGCACATGCAAAAACGATTCTCGATATCACGAACGATGGATAAAAAACGCAAGAAATGATCCTATGAAGTTTTATCCCTTTCCGAGTTCAGGTCGACAAAATGAAAGGAGACAGCACTGGATATAGCCTGTGTACATCCGTTTCTCACCCCTCCAAAAAAATCGGGGAGAACGTCTGTGATTTGCCGTTGCTAATCGTGTTCCGAGGTCACGTAGAGTTCCTCAAGATTTTGAGGAAGAATTTGATTGGCTGTTGTATTTCAAGACTTGTGATTGGCCAAAATCAATAGATGGCGTGTAAAGTTGGTCACACGAGTGAAATATAAGCCTTCATGGTAAACCACTGGAACATGTAGAATGCTTCAAATTGAATATGTTATTTGCTCTCAAATTCTCTGTAAAAGTTTAGGCTTTAATCTTATATTCGGTCAGGGTAAATTTAAAATTGATGTGGAATTATAATGTCATTAGAATTCGCCGCCAATCTTCACGAACAAAACTTGCATTTGTCAGAAGTGCTAAAGAAGATAAGGGGGCTTAGTAGTTTGTATTCTACATCTCATAATAGCCTGCGAAAGCGCCAGAGTTACAGCTTCAAAACTGCCGAGGACAACGTAATCTTCACAAGAAGATATTAGTACGGTTGATGGAAGTCATTGTATGACGCAAATTACAGGAAAACCACATTCTGACGAGACACCTACTACCGAAGATAGAGAGAGCACGGCATAGACCAATGGGCAGA